TGGTAGAGGCAGGGGTAAAACCATATCTAATGTTATTGTTTATGTTAAATACCTTTATGGTTTTACAGAAAAAACATCATTTTGAATGTTCATATTGCAAATGCTCATATTCCACAGGCACACGCTGTCTCCAATTGTGGCCAACACAGTCCCATCTGTCATTTGAACACTCCCTATGTTACGCCATGACAGTTAATTATGGGTTAACCTTTGCAGTGCAACTACCCTGCTGTGAGTTTAAAGTGAAAAAACAGACGTCTCCACACATCCAAGAAGGTCATGGCCAAATATCTCGGCATCAAGCTGGACATTAAACTCAGCCTTGACCAGCATACAAAGGACATTCAGAAAAGGAGCCATCAAAGCCCATCAGCCATCCGTAAACCCAGAGGACTCCATGAAAGGGGTGACTTGCTAGGGAACTACGAGTTTCATTTTCATGTACCTCTTGTATTCTGTCTGTCACTGGTGTGTGACGACAATAAAGTATAACTATTTACAATTGTTGTTTGTTACATTACTGTGTCAATGCATTCTTTTTACATTAAAATATGTTTAGCTTTATAGTTTCCAGTTTAATTATAATATAAATTTTCATCATTATAATCCATTCTGGTAATCAGTTGTATATAAAAAGCCCCTCAACATGTACAGGGTTGCAGGAGTAAGCAGATGAGACCACTCTGAGTGGACCAAAGAAACAAGTAGACAGCCTGGCCCTGGTCTGCCATATCAGGAACTGCGTCAGTGTCTTTACCTGCTTGGAGTCCATTTCGTGGATAGGTGCATCAGAGAAGCAGTGGTGATGGAAGAGGCCCATCTTCTGGTTGAGCAGGCAGTGGACAACATGGGCCCTCGCGTTCTGCCACTTAACGAGGCGGATCAGCTCACGATTCAGAGAGGCGCCCAGGTCCACAGACCAGTTATAGCTGTACAGAGTCACCTAAAGCAATGATGGTTACCACATGAAATATGACAAGACAAAAACACCCGACACTTGCATTTACAATTCAGAATATAGTTATTCCATTTGAAGTAACTCCCGCAATGATACAATGTATTCACAATGAGGCTTGATCTTATCTCCATCTTGTTAAGAGCTGGTCAGAGGTTACCAGGACCGGTTCAGAAAAAAAATTCCTATTTATGCAAATAGTTTTGTCCAGGTTATCTTAGACCTCGCTGTCATTTTCAGGCACAATTTCTTGTTGCACCAATGAAAACTGTTACACTTATCATCCCGTTTATGGTTCCCTTATTAAGTCTATACAGTGAGCTGACCGCAGGACGCTCGGTTATAATACCATCACACTATTCTCTGCATCTTAAAGAAAACGGGGACTATACTATACAAAACCATGTTGGATACATCTTTATAAAATACGGAGACTATAATATACAAAAAAACTGTCCTCTGTCCTACAGTCCCTGTTCCCCACCCACTTGCCCCTAGACACACCTGGTGGAGATCTGTTCTCTCACAACGATGTACTTATATCCACCTGTATCAAAAGCATGTTAACACTAGAGCAGTACAGGCGTCACAGACATTTATTTCCATTATGTCACGACTGCACCTAAGATAAGACGAGACGTCTCGACTGGAAACTGTCTCCATTTAATAACTGATTCAGTTATAAATATGAATTAGCCAAGGTTGTTTATCTACCTGGTGCTTTGCTTCTGCCCTTTAATATGGTAGTTCTCAAAGAATAAATCTCATAGACAACCTGGACAAATACCTACATGCATGCTGACATTCTACTAGGGGCATTGAAGCTACCATTAAATGGACCAGAGGACCAATGGGAGATCCAGTGTGTTTAATAAAGCTGTAATTCAGTGGTCACAGATGTACTCAGAGCTCAAACAAACATGACCTTTTGAATTTGTAAGAACTCTGTCTTGTTCTCTGCTTGGCCTGAGGGATTTCCACAATACAGATGCTTCTATAGGCCAAGTCACCTTTTTGTCCAGGATGCTGATGAAGAGGAACCTCTGGCGGGGAGCCAGTCCTGCCCCGGCCTGGCTAGGACTGAACCAGTCACTCTGCTCCAGAGCCTCGAAGCGCTGGAAACCTTTATGAGCTGGACAGGATAGAGAGAAAAGCATTATGAATCAAAGCCAGACAGCACGCCATGTCAAGTCCTTTCACACAGACTCCCGACTTCTTTCATCCGCTCTTTACCCAACTGTAGGATTACAGTCCATGGACAGCACCACGACTTGAGATCAACCTCTTACATGTAATTATTTTGATTTGTACATTTACTGGGGAACTGCTCAGTGGATCTTTATAAGCTCAAATGCACAAGTTACCCAGTGTTTTGGCTCAAAAATGGGTGAAAGCTTTACCTATTTTAGGTACAACATTAATGCTGGTCTAGAAATTTTGTAGGAAATAAACATTTAATCAACCTGATAATCAGAAAACATGGAGATGTATTCTTGTGCAGGATATTATTCAGATTCCAGTATCATTCTATATGTTGGGGACATGATATCTTAGCTGGAAGAAAACAGAAAATGTTAATGTCTCTAGTCAATTGCTAGAGACTTCAACTTACAGAAGATTGAATCTCTACTTCAACTCTTTTAAACCAAGAGGGAAATACATTTTTTCCTAGCAGCTGTGGGGATACTTCTTACTGCACTATAACATATATGCCTTTATAATAGTCTTGTCCACGTCTATTTTATTTAATTATATCCTTTTTTAAATGTACTTTATTTTGTCTTTTAAAGTGACAGTCAGCGCCAGTTAAGACTTTATAAACCTCCCACTGACCTGTGCGCCCAAATTACTGTTCATATTGACACACTCTAAGAGGCAGAGGGTGTGGGTGGAGAGGGCGTGTCCCTGCCTCTCCAGGGCCGCACTTCAGTGTGGTGCAGAGGCTGACTATGTTTAGCACTATGCCCCCTGCACCCATGTGAAAGCTGCACCTATCTTCTAAAATATTTCCGAATTGGTGGACATGTATCAATATAACAACATATCAAACAAAATCCTTTAATTCACTTGTCTGTGTTTTGTGTCGCGCACACCTTAATTTCCAAAAACAGGGCCTAAAATCTTTTTTTAATGCCTTATGTAAAGATTTTGATTGTCTTTGTGTTTGAAAGCTACACTGCCTTTTGTCTACTTTTAAACTACATACTGTTTGTTGTTTGTTAATATATAATAATGAAAATCAAAAATATATATTTAGCACTTTATTTCTCTAAGCAACATGTAAAACATCCCATCAGCATTATTGTGTTAAGCTGAAAGGCAAACTTACGTGTGAACCTATTTAGCACTGGGATGTTTTCTTCATCTGAACTGTCTTCTGCAGGCAAACAGAGATGGTACAAACAGCAAGGCGGCATGGACAGTGAAACACAGCTCCACACAAACTGATGTAAGCAGACACTTGCAAAATAACAGTTATGTTAGACAGCTGCTAGCATGGACAGAGAAACACAGAATCAAAGAGCAGCAGCAAGGGGAGCATGTTGAAAGCTTGGGAGCAAAACACTCATGCGTGGACCTCCTTCTCTACAGGTTTAAACAGGTGTTAGCAACATGCTGCTGATAGAAATGTATATCTTTTCATGAACATTAATCAACATCAGCTCCTTTGGATAGCTTATGGTGACAATCACATACTGTGATCTTAACAGTAAAATTTAGTTTCTTTTCTATACCATCAAAGTGTTCCCTTGGAATCTGAAGTCTATATTTACATTCCCTTCATAATCCTGGTAGACTAGGAAAACAAAACCAAATTGTTTTTTGAGAGAAGGCAATAGTGAACTACAAGCACTGAAAAACAAACATCCATTTACAAAGCTTTAAATCTTAAAGCAACATTATGTTGGAATTTTATCTTAAACAGCTTCAAAATCATTTTGATACACTGATAAATCATCGGGACACTGGCTCGCAGTGTCAGCTACTGTGCTGTGTAACTGAGTTGAAAGGATGCAGGACAGATGCCAAGCTGGCATTCTTTCTGTTGGACTAGGGCTGGGCAATCAAGCGATAATGAAAATTATCATTATGGTTTATTATTGAGCGGGCAACATAACCGGGCTCAGCACCCTCTATAGACATAACATTAGCTAATGGCAGAGGCAAAAAGACCAAAGAGGAACTACACCATTTATGTTATAAAGTCATCTACCAGGAATTTGCACTTGTACATTGGAGTACTGCATTGTACATTGATTGGCCACCGCAAAAGTTGAGAAAGGTTCAGAGATTTTTGTTGAAAGAACATTTTTATTATTTTGTTTTGTTTTTTCAGCCTGGATCCATACCCTTGCTGTGCCACCACAGAGGTCTCAATAAAATGAATAAGGAGGCTGCATTTTCCACACATTGCTAACGGGCCCTTCAATCCTGGTTTTGTGTGTCTGGATGAAGTCTTCTCCATAGCTTAAGCATGACGGATCAAGGGTATTCTAGTACTAAGCTGAAGCTCATTGTTTCAGGTTTTTAAAAAGCAGTAGACTAGTTAAACAAAAAATGCCTCCACTAACAAATGGCTATAAGAACAATGGGTAAAGTCTGTAAAAGAGCTGATGAGAGTTATTTCCAAATGAAAAGGTTTGTAACTCTGCCAGAACATAATCTGATACTCTAACATCGTCCAGGAAACTCCTGTGTTTTTTATTTATGTCTGAATAGGTAACAATCTTGTTAAATTAAGTATTTGTTAGCTTCTTAGTCACCCTGGTCATGGACATCTAAAAGTTCAAATTCATTTACTGTTACCTTTGAATTAGTACTTCTAGTTACTTCTTAATTCTTAGTCTTTAAATGCTACTTACAAACTGCAAAAACAGAAGTAAACAGTCATAAGCAGTATTTCAAAACCTAACCGACTATAGATGATGTTGTGCCTTTATGAATTGTTAATCATTGATTGGGTTGCATTGTGTATGCTGTACAGTAGGCTGTGCAGAGTAGATGACCGCTGTGAATGTTTACAGACACTGGATTTAGTAGTTACCTTGCTCTGTGCTACAGTGCCACTGATGGAAGTTGCGACCAATGAGAATGAAGCTCCTTGTAGTGCCTGGAGGCTGTCTGAGGTTCTGGACCAGAGGGAATGGTACAAACATGTCTCCAGATGGGGGACAGCTAAAGAGAAGTTTAAGAAAGGGAGAAAACTCATTATTATATGACACAGTTGTAACACAATGCTGGTCTGAGATATTAAGGACACTGAGATGTACAGGTGAGAGGATGAAGGGCTGTCAGGCAGAGATCCTGCACATACGGGCAACAGTGTTTTTTACGATTGTATTCCTTTTTTCTCCTGATGTGGAATATCCCATTCCCTCTGGAATGTGTCTGCTGACTCTACTGTTGGTGTCTGGAGGACTGAGAACAGATATGTCCTACCTCAACCAACCAGTAGGAGTCACTAGTATAGCGAGAAGGATGTAATACCTCACAGGCAACCACACGCCGTGTTGGGCTGCGGTCGAAAAGTCAAAAAAATCTCCTTTTCTAACCTCCTTTCCTTGACCTCGATGGAAAACGTCACGAGGTCAAGGAAAGATGCAAAGGAGAATTCATAAGGAAGAGTACCTCAGGGCTCAGAGAATACAACTGCTCTTTTCTAAGCGTCGTAATTATGCGCCTGCAGATGTTACTGACGTGGCCTGCTGTGATTAAACTACAATGTTCTGAAGATGGACTACAAAAAGCTCATCTTTGACACTGCGCCCCATGTTGTTGTAATGCAGGCCATCTAAAGGTGGACAGCATCGTGGAATATATTACCTAATAACCAAGATAGCAAAAAGGCAGATAAGGTAGCCTACCAGTCACTAAATAATGGACAGAGTTGTCACATTGAGAATGCTTGCTCACACTCACCCTCCTGCCCACCCATATTTATCAATTGTATGTAAATAAAGTTTTTCCCACAGAATGACAGCGTAACTGTACCGAGAGAGAGAGAAAGAGAGCGACGGGGTGAGAGGAGATGCTGAGAGAATATACGCGCTGCGCGGAGCTCTGTGATCAAATGCGATTTTACCCATTTTAAATAGTAACAAAATCAATGGAAAATCAGCGTTGATAATGTGGCAGGCCGCCACAAATAAATCAGTGTGTGGGAAACGCCTACTGTAGAAGTTATCCAGCTTGATCTTTGCCTTTATGAAGGCGAAGGTGTCAGCATCTGTGACTGAAGTAAAATTAATTTGAATCAGAATGAAGGCTGCAGTACATAACGTGAGGCTACACGCTGCAACATTATCCTGACTTTGATCAGGTTACAAGACCAGTAACAGCTCACATGGGTCTCAGTTACTGTTGACAGTTTAAGATATATGCATATTAGCAAGTTATGGCATAAGAGAGAAAAGGCTTAATAGCCAATGGTAACTTACATGGTGATCAACATCCTTTATCCGTCATGGTTGGTGATTTCTTTATTTATTGTTGTAGAAAATACTTTTTTTTAATGCTTATTTCAACAACCCGAAACATAAAACGGTGTTGAAACAGTATCAGATTACAAAAAAGCCAAAAGAAAACAAACCAAAAGAAAGAAGGTAATTGTGAGTCTTATTAAAGTATCATAATGTGCTTCTGTATTGCAAGGATTTTGCTAAATGTGGTTGATGGATTTTATCCTTTGAGTTTGAGAACGCGCGCCGCTTTAAATGTTGCCGCTGCAAGGAATTGTGGGACGGCATTATCTCCTTTCCTTTCATAAAGGATGGTGCGGTGTACCTTATGCTAAAGGAGATATGAAAGGAAGCACTGAGGCTCCTTTCCTTAGCTTTTAGAGAATCGACCAGCTCTTATCATGGCTGCCACTGTAATACTTCCAGTTCACTTCACTTAGTGAGGAACCTTCTTAAGCAAAAAAGACTTTTTGAACGCAGCCTCGCAACCAGACACCCACAAAGTAGACATCTTATAGTATGACCAGTATCCCCTGAATTTGTTAAAGTAATGTAAATGCTCCGTACTTGTATAGCGCCTTTCTAGTCTTTTCGACCACTCAAAGTGCTTTTACACTACATCTGCATTCACCCACATTCATTCTAAGTGCTCAAACAGAACTAACATTCACCCACATTCATTCACTGAGCCTAAGTGCTCAAACAGAAACTAACGTTCACACACATTCATACACTGGCGGAACAGCCGCCAGGGGCAATTCGGGGTTCAGTATCTTGCCCAAGGACACTTTGACACGCAGCCTGGGGGAGCCGGGAGCTGTCTTTTCACAGGCTCAGCATTCCCTGTTCTATACTGAACAATAGTTAATATTACTTTCTAGAATTTCTATCTAGAACAAAAATATACTGAAAATCCTTTAACGATGTATTAACAAATGTAACTGAAATTCAATTTGTGAATCAGCACTATGGAGACTATAGAGTCTAAATGAGTTAACTTCAATTATAGCGGCACCTGTAAATTTTGTGTGCAAGTCTTTCGACACATTTTCAACAAACTGTGTAACTTTAGTGTCTAAACCACTTTAACAGAAATGGCCTATAGATCAGTCTCTTTTCAAATAAGGAATGAAGATTATTCTAAAGATGTATGATGACTGGACAAATGGTCATTGAGTTATGGCCATTTTCCACAACATGTGGGTACCAGAACCGGGCGAGTGGGCAACTGAACTAGGCTCAGCAGCCTCCCACTGAACACTGCCACGGGACAGAACACAGCCTCAGAGACCAATGGAAGCCAGTTAACGACAGGAAATACAGTACGGATGGGATTTACATCGGGTGGGAGCGAGAGGGAGGCCGGGCATCAGAGAGGCAGCGACAGCGTGTAAAGCCAGAATATTTTCACATCTAACTTCTTGCCAAACCAGAGGTGATGATTGTTGGAACAGTGGACCAAGACAGTTTTAGTGAGTTTTATTGATGTGTGTTTCTTAAAGGCGACACCAGTGGTTCTCCGTGTTTATACTTGCTGTCCATCGCTTTTTTGTGACTAGTTAGGTTTTATCTGAAGCATCACAAACTTTTCTTGACGCCTTTTTTTTTGTTTTTCCCGCTACAGGGTCTGCCATACTCCTAGCTGCTGTAGCTGCTCCATCGCTACAGTTGCTCCAGAGCCATGGAGAGACAGTTGCATCATTTTTTTGATTTTGTACAGCAATGGCAGAAAGTGGAGCCACATGGCTCTGGGTTGCTTCTCCATCAGGTCTGGGAAACCAGTCAATGCTGGTTGACGTAAAAAGCATCACTACTGGCGTGCCAGCGTCACCACAGACACCAGGTTTAAAACTCCAGTATTCTGTAAATACAGAGAGATTTACCTTGTGGTAAGAGGCTTAATCAGCACTGTGTAAACTCGTTGGGCGAGGCCTTGAATTTAACAGACACTCATTTATATGTAAATGCTAAGAGAACTAAAAACAAAGTGCTGCTTAGCAACGTCACAGAAATTGTTGATTACTTCCCATAATTTTTGATAATGAGCAAGCTACTTGATAGCTTACGTACACTGACACGGACACACACACAACAAGACAGTGTTGCACTGTTACCACCAGTGGGTCTTCACTGTCATTTAAAGAGGAGGAGATGAAAGAAACTGAAATGACAGTTGGCTTGTAAATGATAAAACCTATTAAAATTTCAGCTGAAGAGTAAAGAAAGCGTAGGTGATATGTACAGGCTTAAATGTCAGATGAATTGGAAATCATAAAAAGGCTGTTGAAGTCAGTTTTTCTGCGGCTAGGTGAGATCATTCAAACATGGATACTATACAACAGCAATCAATTATATAATGAAGTAAATACCACAGCAGTATGTGGCAGTGTTACTTTTCCATGATTCTCAAAAACAGAGGAGGTAGTAAGTCAATCCTGAGAACACAATATGACAATATGACAGTTTCAGAAATTGATCAAAAGCAGCTCACCTTGTCTTCTCAAATGCCTTCACTGTTGTATCACTGGCCAGAGAACTGACCAAATTCACAATCTCTGCCAAGATGGAAGGTAGCAGGAAGTGTGAAGCAATTTCAGCCGTGCACTGTTGTATGGAGTGGCAGCCTGTTCACCAGTAGCCCGGTCATAAGGACAAACAGAGTGAGAGAGTGAGAGGAATACAAAACCTCGTCTTCAGAAGTCTTTCTGATATCAGTTTAACATCCTTGCAGGAAATATGGGAGAATCAACCATCACTTACCAAGTTTAGCCATGAAGGTGATCCATGGCTGGCAGGTGACTTGGTAGATGGGGTGTAGAGTGCCCGCATCGCCCTCTTCCAAATGAGACGCCTGCCTCCTACACAGCCACAAAACAGCCATACTGTATTAGGACACTGCTATTGGCCCCGTAGCACTAAGGGACCAGAGCCGAGTTAACTTAAAAGCTTGCTGATCAACTGTCAATAACAAAGTTATTTCCTGCTCAGGTGCTGTCATTTTTAGCTTTCACAACTGAATTTCAGGCTAGTATTCTAGCGGAACTTCATGACATTGCTAATCCATGCACAAAGGTGCCTTGCTTAACACTGTACTGTGGATATAGACATTCACAAGTTTATACACGGTAGCAATTTGTTCTGGTTATTTAAAACTGAAATATAGAGTTTTAGGCCAATTTTAGCCCAACTGAGAATACATTAATTGTTTTTTTCTGCAACAGCAAACAGATCAGCTCTGTAAATGACATCTCCTGCTCTACCGCTTTAGAAAAACAGTTACCACAAGGGAGACATTTATACTGTTTGTTGTCATGACAGCCTCCTGTCTGTGCACAACACAAAAAGAACCTCACATTTTAAACCACAACCCATTAGAATTGCCATTCTTTTTTTATTTGAAAGTGACATTGTTGACTGATCAACTTTATATAAAGTGTAACTTTATATATAATAAATAAAACCCGACAGTACATGTGGCTAAAAGTAAAAAACAAGAACAAACAAGAGAAAAACTGTACTGCTAATGTCAGTTTGCAGATGATTTGATGTAATAGCTAATCATCTGCAGCACTTTTTAACATTGAAAACCTGCATTCATTGATGTTTTGGCCACTTGTTGGCAGCGCAACAAACTATAAACACAACATGGACATGTTATCACTTTATAAGGTTGATTTGACAAACATGTTATAGGCATTTACTTACTTAAACATCCATCAGAAACAGAGCAGCATTGTTGTTATTTCGTCGTTTTTTGAGTCGTGTTTGTGTAAAGTCCAATATTCCCTATCATTCTAGCTCTGTTTTGGTCTCAGCTCTTTAGTGAATATCAGACTATTAAACTGATAATTGCTCCACTATGTATACTGCAGCTAGACTCTAAATATGTCATTCATTCGGTTGCTGGAAACGTAGTGTTGACTGGGTTTTCTCCCAGCTGCTCACTGCTGCTGAAAACGAGACAGACGACCCAGAGAGACTGAACCCAAACAGTAAAGTTGTGGGTCATGGAACCAAAATAACGAGCTAATGCTGGACAGGCAGGCTGCCAAGGTATGTGATAATCCTCTGTGGGTTCTTCACCCCTTTCACAATGCATTGCACTGTCCCAGGACCCATTGTTCTTTATAAAATGCACTGATCAGTTAGTTTAGATGCAGAATGGTGTCGTCCCTTTCCCAAAACACTGATAACGAAAGTGTCTTTCCCTGTAAGCTGCAGCTAACAGCAAAAGTTTGTTTACATTGTGTGTCCTTGTTCCCAATGACTCAGCTGTCAATCAAACATGTTCACTGCCCTGCCCACTAACAGGTTTGGAGATATTTCTGATGTATCCCGTTTCAGTAATAGAAAAAAATCCATTAAATTTGGAAATCCTTTTAAGTAATTGGAAAAAGGGGTGACCTATTTGTGATTCCAGTCAAGTCTTTGCAGTTTTAGTATTTATTTGTAATAATACAATGCAATGCTTTTAGTGATATAGTTTCGGATCTACCCCACCTCTGGGCCTGCTCCAGCTCCACAGCCATAGCTTTCTCCTGCTCCACTGCTGCTTTACGTTCTCCGTTTTGTGTCTTCGTCGTGCTGCTCGACCCTCCTCTCCTTTTTCTTGCACTATGTCGTCAGTTGTCTTTGGGCTCCCGAGCTCTGATGAGTCTGGCTTACTCTGTAAGGTGGAAAGGAAATGCTTAACAAGGCGCAGGTTGTACGCAGGCTCATATGGAATAAAAAGCGTAAAACAGATCCAGACTTGCCACAAAGATAAAGGATAAGTTTGGTAACAACAATCTGATCCTGTCAGTGACAAATACAAACCCATTAGTGGACAGACTTTGACAGGGCGCAGTCGCCTGCAAGAATTCTGTTGCAGACCTGTTTTATCCTGCTGACTGCAGCGCACTCACTCATTACTAGACCAACTTCCTAAAATGTTGTCCCAATTAGTCCCATAGACACCAAAACATGGGAAAATAGCTTTAAAAAATATCAATGTTACCCTTTAATGCAAATTTAATCTAAACCTCACAAGTAGCCACTGAATTCTTTGCAAAGGGAAAAGCTGGAGGCATGTGGTTCAAATTTTCTATTGTGTATATAATGTCATCAGAGCATCACAATGGGTTGGGTGTGAAGATACAAGGCAAACAATTCAAAGCACTATCTGAGCCCTTAAACCTAACTGAGAATCTAATCAAGGAACACTTTCATTCCATTTAGAGGTCAAGACATTTTGGTTAGTTGGTTTTAAATTATTAAAGATGAACAGACATTAGTAGTATTAGAAATGTCTAGAAAACACTGAATAATATTAGTGGGTAGGTGGTTTCAGTTCCATTATTATTTCAGTCAGCAAATGAAAAGAATTCACAGAATAACTGCAGTTTTAATGTAACCCATATTTAATAATATCTGTGGTAATAAAAGTCTGAGTATTGCAATAAATGCTAATGCTAAGAGAACACAGTTCCATGACGAAAACCTTCAGCCTCTGGAGGAACTGACCAGTATGTCCCAGAAGCTCCGGCGAATGCTCTTGCTAGTGGGTGTGGTGGACTCGGGTGTGCTTGTCCCTGTCATGGGGGTGCTTCCCGGAGCTTGGGTTAAGGTGATGGGAGAAGGGCTGGTTTTAAAGACTCTTGTACTACTGCGCTGCCTGGGGCTGTCCTTCACTTCTTTCACCTCAGGAATCAACACTCCTGAAGACACATTTAACAAAGAGAGGACCACAAAAGAGTATCAGACATGTATATTTGAGTGGAGTTCCGCACGGCTCTCTGATCAGCAGTTTGAACTAGAGTTCCACTACTCAACCTGGCAGGTCCCCACCAGTCTAGTTCAGGCCATTGTACTGTTGTGTACAGCTTTGGGTTTGTTTATTCACAAATATATTTTAAGACTTTTCTCTCTTTGTGTATGTCATGTGTTGCATGTACACATGTTAAGGCCTAGTGGGAAGAGAAAGAGTTTAGCCAATGTGCTAACTGAACTGATGTACTTAGTAGTGGATGATAAAGCAAATCTATACTGTTGCTTGGGGTCTAGATGTGGGTTTCCGTCACAGATTTGGTGGGACTGGTCAGGTTCAGTCGAGGCAGGTCTTAAAGGTGCAGGATTGCACTAGGTTCAGGTCATAGTTTTAGATTCGTAGAGAACTAATTTGGACTGATACATTTGAAGAAATAGAAGTATTAACTTTTCCGTGAGATGGACAAGTGACAAAAGCCAAAAATACTCCAATCACACTTCAAAAAACGCCGGGGTTGCACTTTGTCCTTCAGGTTGTTGGACCATGGCTAGTGCAAACGTGTTCCACACATACTTGTAATATACACCACAAAAAGACCTGCATTAATGTTACATAAAAATTAACATAAAATGTTCAGCTATGAACAAAATATGATTAAAGGTTGAATTTAAAATTTCAACAAGATAAGGTTTATTCCCTTTTAATAAACAAGTACTTCTAAATAAATAATACAAATATTTTCACCATATTGTGACCCACTGTGGGCAGACTTAATGTCAACACCCGGGCAACACAGTGCAATCCAATACAATGTAAATATATTTGTTAAGTTTATCTGTTTTGTGTTGGCACTGTGTCAGAGGGAAGTTGATTCATGTGTGTGCTGGGTTACATTATGTTGTAATCTGTTGCTTTTGACCTCACCTGTAGCCTCTTCTTTCTGAGATTTGGATGTGGGGCACAGCACCCCTAGACAAAGAGGATTTGGCAAAACTCTCAGCTCCATGACAACATCACAGAGTGCGTGGCGAAGTGCCCCCTGCAGTTTATCACTTAACTGTAAGGGGCTGACGTTGCCTTGTTCCCAGATGTCAAACTGCACATACAGCTGTGGCTCTGTTTTGAAGACAAGCAGAAATAACACGTGTTTAACGCTCCATACATTCAAATGAAAACAAATGGATGAAAAAAAACATTAAAGTTGCAACACTTAATCACATTGTTTTAGTTCCTAAAAGTGGATCAACTGTAGTTTTAAAATAGATAAAGGCAAGTACATACAGTCGGCATAGGTGTCAGGGGTAGTATTCTGGGGAAAACTGAGGCTGTTACTCGTCTCCACCTTGTCATTTCTGTCAGCAGGATCACGATTATTCTGATTATGATATGTTGATATTTAAAAGCATAGCACAGGGGACTGTCCAGTTAAGTCCACACTTCCAATGACATACCACATAAAAAGTGTCATGCTTTACCTTACACACAGACCTCTTCCACTTCCCTTTGTACAGGCTGATAGAGAAAATATTGTGCTCATCTTTGGAGGGATGACATTGGATTTCTGGCACCAATGTAAACTCTGCCTTCTTACCTTCGGTCCTCTGCTGCTGCACTTTGATCCAACCAGCAACCAGAGTGTTTCATCAAAATTAAGCATCATGCACTTTGAATTTTTTGAATAATCTTTCATTAACATGTCTTCAAACAATATACAATGGCACATACTACTACTTGCCTGCTCACCCTCTCTCTCTCTCTCTTCCCAAATAACTACCATTATACATTCCTCTCTCACCTCTGGTATTGTTCCCTCATCTTTAAAATCAGCTGCAATAACTCCTATACTTAAGAAACCTGGTGCAGACCCCAACAATTTCAACAACTTCCGTCCCATCTCTAACCTACCTTTTCTTTCTAAAATCCTTGAAAAACAGTTGCATCTCAGGTCCATGCACACATGTCTGACAATAACCTCTATGAACTATTCCAATCTGGTTTCCATCCCTGTCATAGCACAGAAACAGCTCAGCATGGCAGCTGATTCCAGACTACTTCTCATAACATCCTCCTTGACAGATTAGTCTCTATTGGTTTCACTGACACACCCTTGGACTGGTTTAAATCATACCTCTCTGGCCACACTCAGTTCATCCAACTCAAACATTTCAAATCAGAGCTATCCCCTGTCACTACCGGTGTTCCCCAGGGCTCTGTCCTGGGGCCCCTTCTGTTCATCATCTAGCTACTTCCTCTTGGCCATATCTTTCATAAATTTAACATCCATTTCCACCGCTATGCGGATGACACCCAGCGAGGTCCTCCCCACCAAACCCACTGACTAAACAGTTTTTTTCTTATCATTAACAACTCCCAAGTTTCCCCCTCCCCTCAGGTCAACAGTCTGGGTGTGATCCTCGATATTACACTTTCATTTCAAGCTCACATTAATAATGTCGGTCGGTCTGCATACTTAACCATATTCCCAGTTAAACACCGCATTGATTTCAAGACTTTGCTCCTGACCTTCAAGGCCATTCACAACCTCGCTCCTCTGTACCTCACTGCCCTTTTTCATATTAACACACCCACCCGTACACTCTTAGTTCTTCTTCTATTCACCTCACTGTAACTCCTACTCATTTGACCACCACGGGGTTCAGAGCCTTCAGCCGGTCTGCCCCTTGACTCTGGAACTTTCTTCCACCAGATATCCGCAACGTTGACTCGCTTTCTATTTTTAAATCCTGCCTGAAAACAGGTCACAGCAATCTTTGTTTCCAATTGTTATGTACACTGATTTTATGCACTGTAATTATAGTTGTTCATTTTATCGATTTATTGCTGTAATGTTTTTTTGTTTTGTGAGGTTACCTTGAGTGTCCAGAAAGGGGCCTATAAATAAAATGTATTATTATTATTAGATGGAGAAATGTATTATGACAGTCACTGTCCCGTAAATTTGAGGATGGCTCTATTTTTAATGCCCAAAAGCAAACACCTGGAATCTTATTTGTTGGGTTTTTTCCCTGTTGCAATAGCAACAACACAGTATGACTATCACTTTCTTTTATTAATAAGCTTCCAAAACTCAGATTTCATTTTGATTTATGGCCCTGTGATGCAGTGTCACTTTGACAAATTTACCTCCAGGAACAAAAACCTTGCAGACTTGTATTCATTGACCAGGAAGATTTACTCGCTCAATTTTTGGGGCATTTAATATCTAGACTTCAAGTTTAATAGCCATACTGTTACCCATAACGAAGCTTGACATTTATGACTGTAATTAATCAAATTTTTTAATTAATGGAGTTTATACAATAAAATGACTCCTGGCACTTGCTGTAACCTTGTAACATAATCAAATTCAATGTTATTATGACAATTTGAAAACCAATGACATAGAACTCCTTCTCTGTTGTCTCAGTTGACTAGTCTTTGTAGCAGTAGCCTCTGAAAAGAGTTATATATGTCTTCTGTGGACTTGATGAGCTTTCCCACGTCTAAGAAAAACCTCCAGAAGATGTCCCACTGTAAGACCTGCTACTAACATGTAATCTGGATCAGAAAATGCATATTAATGCTGGTGTACATGCACACAGAACACACTGCAATCAGAGTCAATCAGATCTGCCAGACCCCATCTGCAGGTGGTCTGACTCACATTGTGATCTGATCTCAGACTGCTATGAATGACATTTTTTTCACATTAATCAGTCCACCTAACCCGCCTGTTCCTGCTATAATTCTGCCATTTCAAGCTGCCTTTCAAAAAGAAAGAGAAACTTTCTTCATCTACAAGAAGAGAAAGAAGTAGAACCCAAACAGCAACATCAATTCAGGAGACTTTCCAGAGACTGCAATAATGTGCAGGGCAAAAGTCACATGACCAACAGGTTTGATCAAACCTCTGATTACCTTCTTACAGTATTAGTAACATTAGCCCCGTTAACAAGGCTACTTTCATCTCGCACACTGTAGTGGCGCCTCAACACTATCTCGCATTACTTCCCTTGACCAGAGACACACCATGCTTGCTGGAAAGTCTCCCTGCTCCACCAGCTAATTTGCGTGTTGTTTTGATGCAAATGTGGGCAGAACTGAGATAAGGACATTTAGAACCTGGTGTATGCCTATGATCAGATGTCATGTTAATACTAGGTGTAAATGAGGTCCAAATTGAATGAAAAGCCAGCATTACAAAGGGTAAGGATGGAGATGTGAATTTTGAAAAATGTGGGTGTGTGTCGCAGGGAGTATCTAATGAAAATGTGTGATAAAATTTCATTGAGAGGTGCAGAACATTTTTGGAGTTTGGCCTACACTAAGGACTAAAGTCAGGATATGTCCGTCTCTGCAGCTTCAGTTTTGGCCATTTTTCAAACCTCATCTTATGCGTCTAAATTTCTGGATGTTGCGATTTGTGGAGTAACTGAACATTTAATACCCTAAATCATATGAAAGATTTCCACTGTGGCCCATTTGGAGTATCGTGCTCATTTGGGGCCTCTATAAGGGCTATACAATTCATTTGCATGGCATTCCAGCAAACATTCTTTATTTTCCATACTGGATCCTAAACTAGTTCATTTTTACCCCTGTGCTGTCATTGTTTTGTACTGCTGCTTGCTTGGTGCTGGTGATTTCAGCAGCTCCACTCAGGGTGCCCCGATGGCCTGGTGGTTACATGCAACATTTGAGCTTAGATTCCGGCTATGGACCTGTGTTTCATATCACGCCTCTCTCTCTCCACGCTGCCTTCTCCCTACTGTACGCTGCTGGCTCTCATATAAAGGCTAAATAAAGAAGGGAGAAAAAATAACTGCTTCATTCCATCTACCCAGAACAGCAAATCATCAAAGGATAAAAGTTACAAAAATGTTGTTTTATATATATTTTACATCCCTACTTTATGCCATCACCCCATTCCAGTCTTATTTAAATGGCAGGGTCTCTATCTTCTTACAGGTACTAAACAATACTCTTCATCTGTTTTCCTACTGTGACACTAATTTCACTGCATAATAAAGTTTACTTTATTAAAATTATTAACATTTTTGGACTTTCATTTTTGCTTTATGGTGAGTGCTTAGCTTTATATGATGAACTCGGGACTAAAATTAAGTCAGTGCAACTAAAATTTTGACTGTGTTTTATCACCTCCTACCTACAGACCCTTCATCGAACCCTAATCCTTAACTTTACCCTCAGCAATTTCACAAATAAAGTTTGGCTACAGCTGCTCAGTGTTGTTCACCTGTGCCTGAGCTGACATCGATGGAGTACACTTTGCACACAGTGGTCAGCTCATCGAAATGGTCCGGATGAAAGGGGATGGTGCAGTTCTCTGATCTCTGCAGTGTAGCACAGTCCTGAGCTGGAACCTGGAGGGGACGACCATGGGCATCCACAAATGAGAGGGCGATGCAGGCAATACCTGAAAGAGCAGTGGAATTTATTAAAATGGCAGCTCATTGGGTTATTAATTTCTACAACCTCCTGAGTCACTAATCATTTCCTTTCCTTCGCAATTATACAAAGATTCGTGACAATGATGCAGTTTTCATAAAGCCCTGGGGTTATTAGGCAATTTTCCAAATAATAATATGCAAAAACCTTGTTTGAATGCCATGGTGTGTGTCACCTTAACTTTCTGTTTTTGTCAGTGCAGCACAGATTTAAAGTTCTTTGACAGTGAAAAGAGGTGTCTTTAAATCCATTTTGATCCTTTGATGCTCCAGTTCCTCATCACATTACAGCTGTGCACATGCTGCAGCATAAAGCATAGCCGCCCTATAACACTGCTTGTGTAAGACAGGATTGTTGGATGTGTTAGCTTTGACACTGGCAATTATTGCACACTATCAAGTAAGCGGCACCATGCATGGAGCCGGGAGGACGTCTTGCCTTTACAGGCGGGAGAGACAGAAGACACAGATGCATTTCTGAAATACAAAGCAGTTTTTTATCTCAAACATTAAAACACCTTTCTTCTTATCAATTTTTTTATATATTATAATAATTAATTTCATATTTTCCTTTTCTAACATACACACACGCTTACTGTTTTGTTTATTTACTTTTATTTTTAATTTATTTTTACGGAATTTTTATATTTTATAAATTTTTTTTACTATTACTATTATTATTTTATTTTTTTATCTATTAACAAACAACTTTTACTGTTTTACTTACTGATTTAATGAAATGTATGAAATGAATTGTTCTTTACTTCACTTTTGGCAATATTGTTGTTATACATTCATGCCAATAAAGCTGATTTAATTTGACAAAGAGAGGGAAGCTGTCCTATGACACAAATTAATTGATTGCACACAAATTATTAAAACATACCCTAATTTACCCCAAAAGACTAATAGTTCATTTATATTATTCATCTAAATAATACTGTAAAGAAAGGGTCATATGTTGGACTGCCAAATAAAGACACCATCATATCCAGGATTACTGTAAAAAGGAGCATTACTGAAATGGTGGAAAATGTACATATCCATAACTGTTGCGCTGACAAATTCACAGGTGTTCAGCGTGGCTGTCAATAAAAGTGCGGGTATCAATGACATCCCACCTCTCACAGTCAACTGACAGCTGAAAGTATCAACATATAGACCAGACTGAACAGCAAAGGGCAGGGCCAAGGGATCACACTAGCTGGTAAGCCCAGTTTACATTTACTTAGTTTTGCATCTGTGAATGAGTAACAGTCGTGATCTTGCGCAAGTAATAGGCCTAAATCTCTACTACTACCAGTGTCCAATATAACATTTTTCCCCCCACTGGCCCATTGCATATTTTTACTGGCACAACAACGTTACTTTATTAACTGATATACATTGTAATGATTCATTCATACAATAAAGAAATTATTTATTTTCTCCTTACATCATTTTAAAAAGATCTTATTATTACATTTACATTTGGCAGAAGCTTTTATCCAAAGCGACATACAAGCATCAACAGAGCATCAAATACAGATCTACAACTGACAATACATACTAGTAAGAGCAGCAATAAATACTAGTAAGAGCTCATAGTACATACCACATATCAATGTGGTAAATACCTAGGGAAGGAAGTAAGAGTTAAAGAGGTGGTATTATGCTCATTTTCAGGTTCAAAATCTTAATTAGGGGTTGTACCAGAACAGGCTTACATGTTTAATTTTCAAAAAACACCATATTTTTCTCATACTGCACATTGCTGCAGCTCCTCTTTTCACCCTGTGTGTTGAACGCTCTGCTCTTGAGCTACAGAGTGATGCATCTTACTTGCACAAAATCTTTGTTGGGAGTTGCACATGCGCAGTTCCCAGGTAAGGACTACTAGCCAATCAGAAGCAGAGAAGGCGGGTCGTAAGAAACAAGGTAGTGTGATCCAAATCAAAGCCGCTTCAGGTCCACAACCACACAACATCATTCATTTTTCCACATCTTACCATCAGGACTAAACGTTGAACTGTTGCCGGTGTTCTGACGATCTATGCTGCTTTGCTGAAAAATGCTACCAAATCAATAGACTCGGCTCTACTCGGCCCAGCTCCGTTTTCCATTGCAGACAGTACCCACAGATAGTACGTAGCTTGTTGTCATAGCGACGCCACACTCAACTGCCGCGACGTAATGTTCAATGCGACACCCACACCAGCGATCCACACATATTTCTCTTTTTTAAGTATCAACATTCCTCAGAATGTAAAGACAGATAAGCGGTATGAAAAGCTTCCAGCTGTGTTTTCCTCTGCCGTTGTTGCTGCAGCGGTCTGTGTGACGGCGGGAGCAGAGGGCTCTGTGAGCGGGCGGCTGGCCGGCCTTTACTGAACTTATTTTGAAAGCCTTCTTGAGGAGGCATGACATTACATAGAAGATACCCCTGACTGGTTGGATTATTATTTGTGGATCATATTCAAACTTCCCCTGGTAAACCAGTGCCAGAATGATCTGTAGACAAATACAAAGCGATCAGCAAATACACTGGGATCTGCAAACACAGACACTTGAATGCTAAAAATTTGTATGCATGTCTTGAAACAGTGGTTTGAAAAACGTTAGGCTGTGTTTGTTTGCAAATTTTGTATAAATATTAAATATTATATTGTGTAAAACAACAAAACAGTAGTGTCAAAATTCTTAAATCAAATTCAAAACAATCTACAAAGGGAACATGTAAAAAAAGATGTTGCATTAATTCAAATTCTGGTTTTCAAGTACAAGTCACTGAGTTTGTGGATCATGGAGTTTGTGGATTCTGAATACATTTGTGGATCTTGTTTTCTATTTGTGGATCACGTAGAGTTAGTTTGTAGATTTTGTATCTATTTGTAGATCGTGTTTTGTGATTCATAGTCTGTGGATTTACAATGATAATGACATCGATTTACCCTCATAGGTTATTTAGCAGTTATTTATGTGCCTGGCTAAGCAGTTGTGTTACAAGGCAGCTTAAATGTATGTTTAACGCCTCTTCTGATGCCAGAACGGTTGCTAATTAGCAGCTTTGTAAAACTAGTGGAAATATATTAGAAGGGATGGTGGCTGGAATCCGAACATAAAGTGTCTCTTTATGCGGATGATACCCTCTTGTATGTGTCTGAGCCGCTTAAGACCTTGCCTCATCTATTGTCATTACTTGGTAGTTTTGGTAAAATATCAGGATATAAAATAAACATGCAAAAAGTGAACTTATGCCGATTAACACTGCAGCCAGACTTATCTCATTTAACTCCTTACCGTTTAAATTGAGTAAAGATAAATTTAAGTATTTAGGTATATGGATTACTAATAATTACAAGAACCTCTATAAGACTAATTTTATTCCATTGATAGATTCCATAAAACAAGATTTTGAGCGTTGGGGTACGTTACCGCTATCACTAGGAGGCAGGATAAGCACCGTCAAGATGAATATCCTACCTAGATTTCTATATCTGTTCCAGTGTATCCCGATATTTTTAACTAAATCGTTTTTCCTACTGATAGACAGGCTGATATCAACTTTTATATGGAATGGGAAAAATGCACGCATCCGTAAAAGTGTTTTGCAGCGACACCGAGAGCATGGAGGACTATCATTACCCAATTTTCAGTACTATTATTGGGCAGCCAATGCTCATTCTATGTTATATTGGTTTAACTCGCATGCTAGTGGTCCTAAATGGCTGTCCCTTGAGAATTTGTCATGCCATCCTGCTTCTTTACATGCATTGCTCTGCTCAACATTGCCATCACCTCATCCTATATATAAATACTCTCTGAATCCAGTGGTTAAGCACTCCTTCAAAATATGGGGACAGTTTAGAAGACATTTTTCACTTAATGATGTATCAGTTTTCGCTCCCATAGCAAGAAATCACATGTTTACTCCTTCTATTATAGATGATTCTTTTGGCGCCTGGTCTGTAAATGGCCTTAGGGTACTAAAGGATATGTATATTGATGGCACTTTTGCAACCTTTCAGCAATTGAAAACTAAATTCCAAATTCCCAACACTCACTTCTTCAAATATCTTCAACTTCGTAGTTTTGCTGCATCATCTGTTAGTCACTTCCCCTCATTACCACCTGAGTCACTTCTTGAGACTGTTCTAGAAGTGAATCCAAACTCCAAGGGGGCCATTGGTAAAATATATAGAGTAATGAATACTCATAATATGGGGCCTCTGGCTCATGTGAAAAGATTGTGGGAAGAGGAACTGTCTATAGGAATTTCTGAGGATGTATGGGAATCTATATTGAAAAACATTCATTCATCTTCAATATGTCAAAGACATCGAGTGATTCAATTTAAAGTTGTTCATAGACTGCATTGGTCTAAAGTAAAACTGGCAAAATTTAAATCAGACATAGATCCTTACTGTGATAGATGTGAAGCCGAACCAGGTACTCTGTCTCACATGTTTTGGCTCTGTCCAAAACTTAAAGTTTTTTGGAAGTCTATATTTAAATTTATTTCCGACACTTGGGGACAGTCATAGAGCCTGATGCCATGATCTCTGTATTCGGCATTGTACCGCAACATTTTCACTTAAATCAAAACAACAAAAGCCTCATAGCATTTACTACTTTTTAGCTCGACGGCAGATACTGCTTAAATGGAAAGACAAGTACCCTCCAACTTTTAAAATGTGGCTCATTGATCTCTTATACAATCTGACCATGGAAAAATAAGGTATGCTACCGCAGGCTGTGCCTATAAATTTTTTGATATCTGGCAACCGGTTCTGGACCAAGTTAGGAAGGTGGATCCCTCTCTACTTACAATTTCAGAGGAGTAATATACTGTACATACTTGTGCTTTCTTCTCTAAAACATGTTAATGAATGTTTTTGTTTTTCAAAATAATATGTGTATTGGTGCAACAGGTGGGGATTGTTCTTGGGTGGGTGGGTTAACATAAAAAGGAAATGTATTGTAAAAGTGT